AGTGGAAGCCTCGGTAACTGCGCTGTAGTAATTTACATTGTAACTATTTTAAAAATTATTAATAAAGATATGAGCAAGACCTCACCTTAACACCCAAAAAAAAAAAAAGAATCTGAATGAAAAAATTGTTTACAAACTAGTGTCGTTAAATATTACTGTGGATAAAAAGCAAATGCTATTAGAATTTAGCAGTAAGCATTTATCAGCATACAACAAATGTGATCAGTGCTATGAATTATTATGCGATGGGACAGGTAAAAGCTCTATGGTTATCGCATGTGGTCATGGATACCATAAGAGCTATTTTATTATTTCATTAAATAAAAAATGTTGTTATTGTGAAAATTTTCTCAAACTAGGTATACAAAATAATGTTTCTTCTTTATTTTCATGATTGAGTAAATTAGATAAGTCGAAGTCAAAGTCAAGTTTTAAAGAGATTATTGAAGCCGACGATAATAGTCCACAAGATCAAAAAATAGTGAACAAGGATGATATATTAGAAGTACTTCGAAAGATAAGCAAGCATTACCGAGGGTGAAGCAAGCTTATTCTACGGTACTTGATAGATTTTTGAACGCTAATATTTCAATTGTATAGCATTAATATTTTTTTTCAATATAATTTAATTATTTAATAAAAAAAAATTATTTCAAAAAGTAATTTAATATGATACAATATTTTAAGTGCAATTATACATGGTGTTAACAAATAATAAATTAATACATTTGTTTGTAAAATTTTTAAATAACTAAAATCAATTCTATTCGTATGCTATCTAGCCACTTGTCACCATTCTTTTGAATATTATTCAACTGCTAATTTAAAAGAAATCTATCCAATTAATCTGTAATTCTAAGTTAAAATTATTTAATGCAGTTATCAATATTTCTATTTTCGCTTGTCCATCCTTGAATTATTTTCAGAGAGTCACGCTTGTCACCAAGCTTGAGAAGTTTTATATTAGTTGTAATTTGCACGTTTTCCATAATAATAATTTCTTCTAGAATCTAATTTATCAAATACTAACATACATGCATTTGCTGTAATGTTTTGAGTTAGTCCATCTACTTTAAGAATGCTATTCTTCAATTGTATATAATCTGTAAACTTAAACATGTAAATATAATTAGAATAAAGCAACACTTTGTGAATCACCAACAATTTAAATCTCTTATCTAAGGCAATTCTAACTTAATAAATTAGTTTGCATAACCCAGCTGGGTCAAATTTTACAAACCTTTAAAAAAATTTTTTAAGTATATTTACTATCCAGGTGGAAAATTTATAAAATTTTGTTTTTTATATATAAAATTTTTTGAAAATAAAATTAAAAGCCGGGTTGCCAGGTCACTTTCAAAAATTTTATGCTATGAGAACCAAAAAAATAATTTGGCTAGCCTAATGTTGCTAAATATAAAGATGTCTGGTAAATGCAAAGGTATTGGTGGATCGTGTATTTGGTTCACTGTGTGAGTTAAAATTAGGTAACAGCAGTAATACAAAATGTTGTTGCTGCTGTGGTTATTACTATATTAGATTAAATTATTTGAAAATATAAACGGTTCATATACATAAAATGAAAAACTAATAATATATTTAAAGATATAAGCTTATATACGTATTAGGATCATAATAATTTAATATTATAAAATTTATGTATTTTTATTGGGCGAATTGGCTCTGAGTCATAATTTTCTAATCTGGAAGGTTTGTGTAATGAGGATTGTCCATCCTGCTATAAATAATATATTTTTAAAACTATATTGAGATATTTTTTATTTTATTTTATTAATTTGGTTAAAATAACAAATTAACAAATTTTCAAATCAGACCATCACTCTTTCTGCTGATCATTAATTTCAAAATCTGCTAAAACAAAGAATAGAGATTTTACTAACAACTGACATAGAAACCATCTTTTGTAATATTAGGAAAAAAGACTCAGCATCAAAAAATATCTCAAGTTTCTTAGTACAAGAACTTGAAAGCAAGCGAACTCAAAAAAATATAATATCTTTTGTAAATTTTTGTTAAAAAATTTGGGGAATTTGAAAATTCATACTAGACTCTGTAAATTCAAGATACATGACAAGTGATCATCAAAACAACAAACAAACAAAGGAGACATATTCTAATTTAGGAAACAACAACAGATATCAACAACAAACAAACAAACAGCTATATTCTATTCTAAGAAATATTAACGCTTAATAATCATCAACAACAACAAAAGAAATTATAACATATATTTATACAAAAAACAACAAAAAAAGTCTTAGAAAATTCCAAAAACAGATAGAAACAGAAGCAACAAAACCAGTTATGACTGGTCTATTGGCATATATACATGTAGCAAGTGAAAAATTCTCAAATATATAAATAACAACAAGCTGATAGAAGTTCTATTAACATACAAGCTAATAGAACCAGACAACATAAACAACTTAGCCAAGGATCTAGTAATAAGAAATCTAGATTATGTGATAGTATACGAAGTTTTATTATATAGACAAATAAGAGTTGACTTGAGAAAGCCAGACCTCTGTTTTCAAGAAGATATAGTCAAAAAGTGGACCAAAAAAGCCAAGATTGCAAGAAACAACTCAGCATTAATCAAGTATATAACAAATATAAGTAAAGAGGAAATTCGGAAAGAAAAAAACAAGATGGATAGAATAGAAAAAGAAACTCACTCTGTTACGAATCAAGCAACTAGCCCTAAAAAACGAAGATAAGGCAAAGAAGAAACAGCAAATAGAAACATAAATAAAGTAGTAGAACAAATAAAAGATCTAAAAATCGAACCTAAATAGCAAAACCAA